TTGACACCCTCCTTGTCATGACTTCTATTTACACATAAACTAAAACACTACCAGAAGCACATTTGCTACCATAGTGGCCCTGCTAAAGAACATGGTTTTTATCATTCTGGCATTCCAGAGAAGGTATAGGGATGTGAGGCATAGCACGCAGACTTTTCCCTTGTTCCCGGAGCAGGTGCACTGCATTATGGGAGCAGTAGCCAGAGTTACAGAGCCAACAAGAGCACTCGGAGAGCATACTTCCACCAAGACAACATTCACTAATGCAAATGGGTCCCTTGTGAAAAATGAGATCCAGAACACAAAATGTAACCTAAAATCCTTGATCCATATCGGATTCAGGTCATCTTTTAGGGTCTGACAGGTATTTATACTATATATCGTACTTGATCATTTCAGGGTTCTATCTTCATTATAAGCCAAGCTATGGCAGAAAATGTGTGTTAAAAAGGGTTTTTAATGTTAAATCTGAATGGCCGCAAGATCCAGAATCTGGATCAGAGCTGGATGAAATTTGGTCTGGTTATAGACATTGCAACCCTAAATATGAGACCCAAATGTCAAAAGATTTTGATAACTTTTGTCAGAGATATGAATTTTTTAAATTTTGACCCATGTTAAAGATGGGGATTTTTGTGACTTTGACCTTTGACCTTCTTCAGCTAAAATCGAATCACCAAGCAGGCTGATGATCAGCTTTTTGTCCGAAAACCTGCTAAGCAACAAACACACACACGGAGCCAAAAACATAACCTCCTTGGCAGAGGTAACAATCCTTTCTTGTGCCATAGGAACTTGCTCACTGAGGGGGGAGGGGGTGTGTCAGTGGCACACATTCACCATGAATAGGAGAGGGTCAGCGAGGGGGAGGAGGTATCACATTACCTGCCCATCGGCCCCTGTTTATCAGTGACACACTCTAATGCGCACACACACCATTTCCCAAACAGATGCACGTAAACAACAAGCAACCAAGGAGACATTCTGTCCTCATCTACCATACCACACTGGATATGCTGCACCATCCAGGTTAAACTGTTTTCTCAGTGGCTACACTCAACCCGCACTAACATTAGCTAGAGGTCTAACAAAACGTCAATGCCTGATGAAACAGCTGAAAACTGTCATCCTGGTATTCCAAGATATGAAGCTGTAATGAAGTGAAAGCAGTCATGTCCAATAAAACTCCCTCATAAACAAGATCCATCTCTTGTAATTTCATTTTACTAGGGAACAGGCCAGTTCAAATCTATACTCCTGGAATCTGTGTAATCAGAAACACACAGGGTTGGTTTATTTTATCTGTCTGGCTGAGAATGGTTTTGGTTTTCCAAATCAGCGTCCTAACCACAAAAACAAAAAATCTATGCCATAATATTTGCCTAGCAACAGGTGACTCTCTAGCATACAGCTACTTCCCAGAACTTTCCCTGCTACAGGATTTCCCCTGGCTATAGGCAAATACCATTCCTGTATATCCTCTTTATTAAAAAAAAAAAAAACATTAATATGGTCGTCCTCTAGCCACTTCAGAAATATTCAGGAACAGATACAGAGATTAACAATTATAAAACAAACACATAGACTGTTAAGTTGGTATTTTGCCTGACAATTTTCTTTCTTTTGTCCTCCAACAACACCACTGTTGACCTGTGCCGTCACCGAGTTGCTGTCACACACCAGTTGCGTGGAACGTGACGCTCCGTGGAGACGCTGCGTACAGTAGCCTGTTGTTCTGGCCAACACAAATAAAACGCAATCGTTTAACCGCTCCAGGCCAGACGCACCTGTTCATTAGTCATGCTGAATGGGCTTTTTTCTTTTAGCCTTGTGTAAACTCCTGAACACCGTGCAGTGACACACATATCCACAGACCACTCACCCAGCTGAGTATCCGCACGATGGTTTGCGGCTGTCGGACAAACTTGTGGAAGTCGAAGCCTCCTCCTGCGAGCGTAACTCCATATGCAGTTGCACCGCCCGTCTCTTCCATGTCTCCCTTCAGTTCAGCCGATCTTCCGGAGCTCACCTGGTGCTTTAAGCCGACCTAACAGGACCGTCTACCAACTAAACTAAAGAAAAAGTAAAAACTATTGGCACACCATGCTGTACTGCTTCAATGAACGCGAAGTAGACGAGCCAGTTCCAAGGGAGCTGCGTACCAGCGGCTGCGCGTCAGGGGGCGGAGTTCAGAGCGCATTACGACTGTTATCACCAGCCTACTAGACCTCTCTCATTTTTTATATTACAAATACTCATACTAAAAAGACACGACAGCAGAGTGCATCATAAACATTTGTTTCTTTATTCACACCAGTTTATGGAGCAAACGCCCTGCACTCTCAGGGAAACTCAGCTGGTTCACCATGAAAACTCTTCTCCGCTGAAATGTCGGGCCATTCATCTAGAGAGGCTTCAGATGCCTGAGGAGAGCACAGACAAAGGGGTTCGGTCACTGTGTAACTGTGTGATTGGTTGGCTGATTGATTTTGATTAATTGGTCTAATCTCACTTGGTCAAACTCCTCCCCGCTGGGTGGCGTCATCTCATCAGCATCCTCAACGTATTGGGAAACGTCCTGCAAGAAAATACGATAGAGTTCTGCGTCATGTCCTGATGGGTATAATATCACAAGCGAGCATGAAATTAAGTCCTGTCAGAGTGAATGAACGGTGACTGATGTAGATGGATACAGAAACTGACGAACCAGCACGCCCTCGTATGCAGCTACCGTTCTCTGCATCTCCAGGCCCATCCTGTGAGGAGAAAACAGCCAGGAGTCACATATACTGCTGCCTTGGCACAGCTGAAGGCTGTCTAAAGCGAAGTAGTAAACTTTTTATTTACAGCCCTACAGCTTAAAATGAATGCAATACAGGCCTACGTAAGTACCCCCCAGGGCACCAACGTCAGTGTGAGCCTGAGGAGCAGTGTGCACTTCGCAGTTACATCCAAATTAAACTTAATGAGGTTTTGATTGCTGATTCAGAGATTTCTTTTGATTCATTGAAGTAAAATTTGACTTCTGCTGTTGCAAAAAAAAAAGGTAGAATAGAAGAACTGAGTGTTTGTCCACCAGAATTCATTAGAATTTAGATTATAATGTAACAAGATCAAATGTACTGAAAAATATGACTGTAAAACAAATAAATGTGAAAAAATATGGTTTTAATTTTTTTCTTTTGATTTCCCTCCATATTTACATGTTTTACTACTTACTGTGATAGTGCTATAACAGAAACTACACAATTCAAGAAACTTCCTATTCAGGATTTTCCTGCCTGAGACAGAGCGAAGCAGTGTTAAAAGATTTAGTTTTGTGCAAACCCTTTACAAGACATTTTGACAGGCCGTTGGTAGATTAACTGTAAATATGCCACAACTTCATGGGAAATGTGGTCATTATTTTTCAAGGTATCAGAATGAAACAGAGAAATAACTCACAGGGACGTCTTTCCGTATCGCCTTCGCCCTGAAAACAGTTAGGAATGTTAACTCTTGCGCTGAGGTAGTCACACCAGATAGAAACAGTGGAAAATGTGTGAACTCACTGAACAGCACTCCAACCCAACAACAAATGGAGACGAGAAGAATCAGGACTGTGAAACATGCAAAGACAGTTGCCACCAATGCGTCAGGAAGACGGTTCCACACTGGGAAGCAGGAAGAAGAAGAAGAAAAATAAGAGAATGAGGTGATGCCAGCTATCACCTGTCAGAATGATGCATTAGTTAACTCAGCAGCAGTAGATCAACTGTACCTTTTTCATCCAAATATAGCTTCTTGCTGCCTATGGCAGTGGTGTTGTCAAAGCTGTCTGACACGTTACAGTGGTATGTCCCCACGCTGCTCCTTCCCACAGACAGCAGGAGGAGAGATTGTTCTGGAGGCTGGTTTTCTACAGAGTAGAACCTTCCTTTGTTGTCTAGAAGGGTGTTGTTGAGGAACCACTGATACCGTGGATGAGTTCCATTTTCTGCCTCACAGAACAATGTCACACTGTCCACAGCATAGTTCTTTCCAAGGTGAGAATCAAAACGAACCGTCACGTGCCCACTGACCGGGACTGTTGGAGACATTATAGAGTGAAGAGAGGCCTCAGAGACAAATGAAAAGACATTACAAAGACAAGTGTGTACCCCAGTATTATGTCCATAGTCTCAAACAGCACACATACCGACTCGTAAGGCCAAGGATTCACTGTGTACAATCCGGTCTCCATTGCTTGCCTGGCAGTGGAACCATCCCATGTTCCGGCCCAAGATCACTGAAACCTTGAATGTGACATTTCTGTCTTCACCTGTCTTATTGGCAAACAATTTTTCTTCATTGTAGAGTGAAAAGGTGATGTATGGCGTCCCATATGTTGATTGACAGGTGACCATGGCAGAATAGTTGTGGGCATCCTCCTTTATTACGGTGAAGTAAATGTCAGGTTTTGACACCCGGACTGAGGGAATAGGATGTAGGAGGATGTTACTTTTTAAGGAAACAGTGTCATATCTATAAAATGTGACTGTGAGAGTGTTATGGAACTTATGATTGTTTGTTTGTTTGGAACGCTGCCCTCTAGTGGTAACAAAAAATAAGTGATTAACAGGAAGTGTCGTAGTAGAACATTCCTTACTGCATGGATTCACGGAGAGTGTCTCCAAAGTATCAATCCAAGTAATCCTTTCTTTAAAATCCACAGAAAACGGCTTCATCCGTAAATTCGTTGGTTTATGTTTATATTAACATAGTTGCGTGACAACGCCAGTAATTTGAAGCTTAATATATGTGGATGGCAGTATTTGTTAAATATGTGTATGCAATATTAGCGATAGCACAGGTTGTTTTTTTTATTGCATTTAGTCGTTCTTTAAAGCATGTATAAGTATGTTCTGAGTGCTATTGCAGGGTAAACTTATGCAAGCAGTGTTTGTTAATGATGTACTCATCCGAATGTATTTGTTTTCTTTGCAGTTTTACAAAAAAGATGATATTTTCTACATTAAACCTGCCAACTACAACAACCTGCCTGTTCCTTGGAGGATGACAGTGTGGAAGGTGTATTGTAAAGCTAGTTGTATAGCTGAAATTGTTACATTTCAGTGAGGACATCATAGAGAGTTCACTTCACCACAGATGACTGCAAACCTTTGATTCTGATTATAACTTCAGAGCTGTTAGTCCTGTATTCTTTTTTGTTGAAGCGGTTCGTAGCCACACACACATAGGAGCCGTTGTCTTTAGACGTGGTGCTGATGGAGACACAAATTATTATTTAAGCAACTTTCCAATTACTTGTTCGAATAAAAAAAACTACTGTCTTAGTAGATAGTTGGGGTGTCACTGGCTACGTTCGCATTACTGTACATGCTGGAGTCGCCCAGATCCAATTTTATTCCCTCCAAGTGATTCAGATCTGATATTCTCACAGATGTGTGAACAAACCAAATCAGATTTTTTTTTTTTTCAGATTTCTCAGATCTGGGCCACTTCCATATGTGGTCCAAGATGTAATTCATATCCAACTTCTGAACACGTGACTGGTGTCAGAATGGTCAGACTGGAATTCATATGGTTTTTTTTCCAGTGTCTCACTCCTCTGCACATACACATAACGCATGTTGTCATCACTCAGTGTCAGCCCCTCAGACCAGTAAACAAAAACACGAAGGAGAGCAACAATAATGATGGGTCAGTGTAGAGAGAAGGACCACATTTTCTCTACATTTATGGAGAAACTTCTGATCAAGCCAAATTGGAAAGAACATATTGTAACTGTACAGTTTTTGAGGAAATGCTGCAATTTGACTGTCAAACAAACAAAGTTGTTGTTATTCTATTATACTATAATAATAATTAACAAATTATCAAACATATTGGCCAACTGCTCACAACACCATAGCGACCACCCCGTACCCCCCTGCTTATCCATAGACTTAACAGGATTCCACCAACCTCTGCCGTGAGAGCTCTTTAGCTGAAGGAGACATGGGTATGAGCTGACCATTCAGGTACCACTTGTAGGAGACATTAGTTGCATCATTATGTGAACAAAGCAGATTCGTCATTGCCCCTTCAAACACCTCTGTTGCATCTGGTAAGATGAGAATTGTTGCATTTGTCACTGGCACTGCAGGACAAACACAGGAAAAGACTGAGATCCTGGTCTTATTTCAAATGAGCAGTAACTGTCATTGCAAAGACCATGTTGTAGAAAAGATCCACTGATTTCTAAAGTTGAGCTTCATGTTTTTATGAGCTGTCCTGTAATTCATTTTTTTGTCCAGTACCAGCACCAAACTAGTCTATTTTACTTATCTGTACCAAGAAAACCTTGTCAGTCTGTTGATCACCACTTGGGCCCAATCTTAAATATCTCAACAACTTATTGATGGAGTGCAGAAGATCGTGGTTCCCAGAGAAGGAATCCTAATGCCTATGGTGATGTCTTTGAGCTAAATATCTTACTGCCCTGAAATTTGATACAGATATCCAAGGTCCCTAGACAATGGATTTGATGATCCCTTAAATTTTCATCCAGCGCCATCATCAGGTCAAAATTTGAATTTACACATTTTGGTTTATGTCTAAATACATGCATACTGCAACTGTTTTGTTTTAGCGTTAATTAGCAAATATTAGCATGCTAACATTCTAAGCTAAGATTAGCTGAACATGGTTCACATTATACCTACTAAAAGTCCAAATGTTAGAATGATATTATTGTTCAGCTCAAAACACCACAATGCCCATATTCAAAGCTGCTAGCATGATTGTTTCTTCATCATCAAATTACAGGTAGCCTACATGGTACTGCTGTTTTTGATGTGAGCTGCAGACAAACCATGTATAACACTGACTAATTATGTTGAGTGCTGAATATGATTTAGTTTGTTTGTTGAGTTTAACCATAGACTGAAACTTTAGTTGGCTGGCTGCTGTTCATTCAAATAAAGTATATACATACTAGTGTACATTAATATATATAATTCTCTACTGCTCAGAGAAGCTATGGAGGCCTACATATGACATATCCATGGTAACAAAGACACTCACCAAAAACCTTCAGGTATTGTGCGCTGCTGACAGAGTGCTCTATGTTAGAGTCATTTCGTACCCTGGCCACACACTTCAGGTAGCCCTCATGGGAAGGTTTGACTTTTAGGGTAAAGTTTCCAGTCTCACCAGACACGGAAGTCTTTTCATCCAAAATCTGATCTCTCCTGGAAAAGGTTGATAATTAGAGTGAGGGACTTTCTATATTTTCTCAGTGCAGTGCATTAAATTTTATGTATTAATACACATACTTACTGGACTAACTGTAAGAGAATAGATTCATTCGTCAGGAGTGCTGGTGGTTTACATTTATATTTTACAGTGTCTGACTCCAAAGCCTCAAATGGGCCAGACAGTTGTGGAAATCCCTGAAATGTCTGATCTATCAAAATATAAAACAAAACACTCAACAGAAAGAACCATAAAATACAAAATTATATTACTGACTATGCACACACGCAAACAGTACACCTCACTTACTGCTGTCCTTGATACAGTGGCATAAGCCTGTAGAAAGGAACAATCATATAGTTTCAAACAGTGAAATATTGAATGTGCTGCAGTGCAGTTTGTGTTTATGAGCTTACCCAGAATGATCACAATTAAGGAAGCAAACATTCTTGAAGGAAAATGATTGCCTTTAATACAACGACAAGCTTCAAATGCGATTACGCTGCACTGTGTACACACACATGCACACTTAGAAACATGTGCAAATAGCTGATAGTGCCACACTACACCTCCCTGCAGTACCCACCCTCTGGCATCACTAGATGAATTCATTCAATCATGCCATAGCTGTTATGGTGTTATACTTTGATAAATGTGAATATCAAAACAACATGAGTCAGACACAGTATGAACAAGCACAATAGTTGTCATTGCTTTAAAACTTTAATTGAACCCAACATTAATTAAAATTATATTTTTATTTGCAAAAACACAACAAATATACAGTAGTTTTGCTGAAAAATATGGTTCCACCAGCGCTTGCAGAGCACCAACAAAAATAGCTGCAGATTTTTAAATGAAATAGTGTCAGGTTCCATGAAGAGGGGGTCAGTTTGATGATAGGTGCAGGTTTCTCATGTTTCATACTGTGATCTCTTCAATCTGAAACAGAGAGACAGAAAGCACACATTGTCTTCTCATTAATCATTAGTCAGATCTTAAAGAGCTGATTTGATCTCAAGGCTTCTGAAGGACAATCGCTCTTTTTTTGAAGCATGTGTCATGGAAGGGAGCATATGATTTTAGTACTGTTATAGGTAAAAGAGAGGCACAGTTACTTGTGTTGGGCAGTTGTTAATTTCCTAAGGAATTTCCTTGAAAGAAATACTCCACTAAAAATCAAATTCAAACAATTTTGTATATGTTGAAATGCCTGATGCATGCTTGCCTGTAGACTAAATTAATTTAAATGCACTTAAAAAGTATAATTAACTACTTGGATAACACTTTATTTCATTGGTCATTATTTTCCTAATAGTTTCCCAATAATTTTCTCAGAGGGTACCAGGAACACGGTGATCAGATTCCAATGAATTGCTGGTGTAACAGTGACAGTCTTCTGGTCAGTGCACACCAGGTCAGCTGAGCATGCAAACATATAACTTAATAAATGGCAAAATAAAGTTTTCAGTATAAAGTTTAACAAATAATTCATATTGAAATGGAGCAGTTCTTTCAGTGAAGTTCCTATTTTCTCTACTGCCATACTACATAGTTGTTTCTATTACACATCCTAGAAAAGTATTGGGGAAACATTAGAAGGACACAGACAAACAAAGGATTACCAACTGGAAGTGTACCACTGTGGCCATTTTCCATAAGTTGTACCAAAGTAAAGAGTCTTTTCCAGGAGCCTTACTGTTAATGTACAGTTATATATCAGTTCCTTTCTAATGAATTATATAAAGACCTGTAGAGGAAAGTGTTATTGGACAGTATTTCATATATTCAAAATCAGTTTATGTGTCCTCTTACTGTATGTGTTTTCTTACCTGATCCTGGGTATCACAGTCTGTAGAGGATGTGTTGGGCCTACCTCCTGACTGGAACGTGGGCGCAGACTGAGGAACTTCATCAGAGCTGAGTTGGGGAGGGTACAAACATCGATGAACTGGTTGATTTGAGTTACTGAAACAATCAATGTTTCTTAGGTCCACTAAGATAAAACTTACTTTATCACAGCAGTGTGAGTAAGAGCTGAAAAAGAAGTGAGACATGGGGACATAGAAACATTTAATATAAATTCAGAGATACATTTCCAGCCACTGAATTCCTCACTCTCACGTGCATGGAGATACACACCTTGCTGATGGTCAAACATCCTGTAAACACAGACTCCGCCCGCTGCCAGCATCAGAAGAAGGAAGCAGCAGAACACCACGGTAATCACCTCTATGGTGGCTAAGAGAGCATCTGTGCAAGAGAAGGGACAAGGTTAGTGAAATATGATGTGTTGTAGAGTTAGCATGTAAGTTATTATGAATATAAAATGTGTATTTTTACGTGATTGGATTTCAGTGGAAGATGGTGCCTGAGGCAAACAGTTCCAGATTCTGTCTGATCAAAAGTAAAAAGTATGATGTGGTAAATTTTACAGAGGACAAAAAAAGAAGACAGTAAAAACGAAAGGCACATATCAAATATTAAAACAAGTCTGGATTAAAAATAAGTCTTTTAAAGGAATAGTTTGACATTTCTGAAAAATATACGAAGCTCTGTGGGCATCTTTGCTTTGATAATGTGCAACCTCTTTTAATTTATTAAGGCTATATATCTTTAAATGTTACAAAAACCTAACAGTAAAAATAACTGTGTGCCATTTGATAAGGATTTATGAATGACACTATTTCATAGGAGCAGTAACTTCCTGGAGCTGCCTGGCCACCTCATGATGACAGCAAGACTCTAGGAAATCACTCCATGGGTGAAGAAATAGGCCGTCAGTTTGTTTATACTATAATTACAAGCAGATGAGGGAGAAGCATTCACATCAGCCTGCAACTTGTACTTTTGAATACCTGACAATGGTGATATCTCTGACTCATTAAAAGAACTACATACTGTAAGTCGCCAGATTTTCCCATCCTCCAAAAGTGTGTGAAAGGAGCATAACCCCCTGTAAAATCTTAGCATGTTATTCATACTTAGGTCTTTCTTCCAATTAAACCAATAAGAAATAACATGTTAATTTTTTTACTTATCTGTGCATCAAGACAGGCCATAAACAATTAGTGAGACTGCTTACAGTGTAAATGGGGAAAGTTCGATTAGAGGGACAAAAACATTTCAACTTGAGTGAAGAATTTCAGTGCATCCCAGAACTCTATGAAGCTGTATTGTAAAATAACAGCAAAGAGGAGACGTAAAAGGAGAGAGACTAGCAGGAAGGGTTCCTGGTAGGTTCTGGGATCACTCAGTCTGACAGCATAGGTGTACTCCCATAGACATGGTCTGCTCTGTCCTTGATAGCTAGTTACAGTTGGTACGTTGCATGTATGTTGGCTGTTTAGGGCATAAACAGTAAAATGTTTGATGCAAGAGGTCCTTTGAAGAGAGGTAACAGAAAGTCTTACTGAGTGCTGAAACATTTCCAAAAATGTCAAACCATTCCTCTGCGATTACTTTTGACATCTTGATCTTTTCACCTGTGACTGGGACCAGCACAGCTGCACTCTCCACCCAGGGCCCAGAATCATTGTAGCTGTCCCTGGCCCTGCAGCGATAATACCCAGTGTTCTCTTGGCCAAGTTCACTAAGAATGAGAGTTCGGCTAAGGTTTGTGAGAACATAGTGAGGTAGGCCAGGCTGAATATAAGAGTCTACATGCATCTTAGAGGGAAGGACAGAGTCATTCAAGAGCCAGGAGATGTAAGGGAATGTTCCTCTGCTGACTTGACAGTGTAGCCTGGTGGCGGCCAGTGTGGAGTCAGCTCTGTACAGATATTCCACCTTCACTTTCATGTCACCTCCGACTGGGACTGAACAAACAGGTAGGAAGGAGAACAAGAGAAAGATGACTAAAGAGAGGGAAATTAAGGGCAGATATGTTTCCTTCACATCTGTGTAGCTCATACCCACTTCCAGAGTCAGAGGCTCACTCATCAACTCCTGCAGCTCAGTTTTCACCCAACATTGTGCCACGCCCATGTCCATCCCAGGCGTCATGGTGACAGGAAACCAGGCTGAGAGATATTCATTTGCTGTTTCAGACCCCACTTCTTTGCCATCTAGTGAAAGGGAGAAGTTAACTGGAGGACTCCCTCTTGATGACCAGCAGGTCACATTGCCAAAGTAGCTGGCTCCCACTTTGGAGATGGAGAAGGAGATCTTTGGTTTTGAAATGTAAACTGGTGGAGAAATGAAGAGGGGAGAAGGTAAGGAGAGGCATATGACATGCAGTGAAACTGAAGAAAATCTAACCAACATAATTTTACAGCCTGCACATTTGCTTTGTAGGAACTATTTCCTGTTTCAACCTGACAAACAGCACAAAGCCAGGTCCATAAAGAAATG